TGTAGATTTGTCTATTGGATATTTCACACGGTTATTCATCTAGCATGAATATACACAAATGATTCATTTATTCACAAAAGTATCATTTAGTCAGTCATATCATCGGTGAAGGAAAGTAAGCCGTTTGTAGGCTTTAAATCAATAAAGTTATGTGGGATATACTATTAACTGATCTGAGTTGTCAGTCATACGGTCGGCACACATAAAATTTGAAGTACTGAGTCATCTCAATTATATAAATCGATTATTTTAACAAGAATATATTTTACAAGTAAAATATACCTTGTACCATGAAATATAATCCTCACAGCTGAAGTTCTTTCCTCTGAAGGTTCAATTCCTCTTATTACCTAAATATTTCTTTCTAGAATTGCTAGTAATCCAATCCAAAGACTTTTGTTTCAAATCCTCCTTCAATCCAGGCTTCTTTTCTTTTCTCCCCTTCTTTTTATCGCTTATTTTGAGTAGCTCAATCAGTAGATCACCTACATCGATAATTCAGGTGTCAGTGCTTTGAATCTTGACATGACTAACACTTTCTTTCGACTGCAATAATCATTCCTGTAGTGTTCTATATGGTAAATAAACATCCCATATCAATCAAAAGGATAGCATCGCCGTGGATACACTAACCATTATGTAAACTAGTGAGAGATCTTAAATTTTCATTAAAATTTTGTCATAGAATTACGTGATAATTAAATGATCGGGTTAACTTATAGAATGACAAGGTACTCGTTGGATGGTTATCAGGAATCAGTTGGTGTTGAACTGATGATTTCTTCTGGGACGAAACAATAGTCTACTTTTATATTTACGAGAGATAGCTTACTAATTGACCGAATGCTATGGTTTACTTTGTGGTTAGCCATCGAATCCAAGACATACGCTTCGTCCTGTTTGGGACTCTTCAGTTGGATGTACCTGCACTTTAGTGAGTTATGCTGTTCTCACTGAGACTCAAACTCATCACCCACCGCTTCAAACGTCAGAGTGTTATCCACTAGGTCACTAAATCATGAGGCCCCCTTCTTGTACAACGAGTTGTTATTTATTGGTACTTTTAATTTTCTGTTGTTATGCTGGATTGAATTGTTTGACCTTGCTGTCGAGACATCCACACAGGAGCCCATCCGGTAACAGAAGTCGAGCCGTTCGACCCAATATAACAAAGGAAAACTGCAAATATCAAGAAATGACTGACTGAATAGTTAACTTTTTTAATTACTTATCAGAAGTTGGAAATTTGAAGGTCAAATGGAGGCCTGACAGACGATATCGACTGCATGAACTAGGCTGTCTTATGAGGTTAGTCAAATGATCAATATAAACAGTTTAGAAAATTGAATTTACTCTTTCCTTAGCTAGTTCATACAGTATAGGGTGTATAGGATATTGGTTCGATGGTTGAAGGTGTTCAAGATACACATTATGTGGTAGTGTATAGGATGGAATGAAATGAACCAACTATCAAATACTTCTTTATTGTCACTCTTTGATCAACTGATTTCAACTTATTGTGCAAACAGTATCTTTTAAAATGTACAGATTTGGACTCGATAAATTCATTCAGTCACAACGACCATCTCTTTCAAAGTTATTTACAAACTGAAAATAAACTTACCGAAGTCAGCAAGTATCCATCTTCCGCGTATTGCTGAAACTTTAGAAATCCAAATAGAAAAGTCGAGGCTTTGCAGACAAAAGAGATTTGTTCAACTTTTCCACCTTTCATAGTCTTATTCTTTAACGTTTACAAAACATCCCCTCCCTCTTTAACTCTTTCAACCCATTCATTTACACATTATCTAATATTACTTGTTTGGAGGCTCACCTTGACAACAACTCATTCACTAAGTGTTTTGTCAGGTTACTTAACTCGTTATTCAGACTTGATAATCTTTACTAAACTTCTATCATATCTTGAGCAATGCTCACTTATCTACACAAGTGTGTACCTTTTACGTCATGACAATCTAACTTTGCTTGTTACTGTGCCTTTTGATCACTTTTCAACATTCATAAACATTTTGATAATTTTAGGATGAAAATGGAGCAACTCTAACGATCACGCTAGCAACTCCTGAAATAACCAATCAGCTTTCGGTATTTCGTCTCAGAAGGTGGTGATTTCTAAAAAAGAAAAACATGATTCGTTATCTCAGTATTTACTAGGGTAACCTTTAAATCACTGCATGAAAATGATACTTCGATTGTTATTACCCTATTTGTTACCATGATTTGACACATGAAACATTGTACATTCTTACCTAAAAACTGTATACACATGAAGTTGTATAGTTTAGTGAGTAAAATTATCGAAAAGAGTTTCTTCGTTGAACTACTCGTTTTTATTTACTTAAATTCTTAAGTATCTTGTTGCATCAGCGATTTGAATGATAAACTTCGAAGCCATTTGTACATATTTCGTCACCCCTTCTATGTAATCGTGAACCTCATCGGAGTCCCAAACAGAACAAAACGCCCACCCTGGATTCCACTGCTAGCCACTGAGTAGACTACAGAATTCAAGTTGACCTTTAATCTCAATCAATCAGCGCCATAAAATTTACCTGAAGGTCGCTTGTTTGAATCCTATAGCTACCCAGGTTTTAATTTCACTTACAATAATAACTGGATATCAGTAAAATTTACTGTCGTTCACAATCATTACCTTCGAATAAAAACTTCCTGAAATAATTGGTCTGACTATCTGAGCCGTGGCTTTTCAAACTTACATTCTATTAAGTGGTGATTGAAGGTGAAGGGGAAATTTGGGTCGTAGTAGGATCCGAACTAGCAGCCTCCGGTATAACTAATTTTGAATATCTAATGTTAAACAAAACACATTATCATCGACATAATTAGTGATTTCTCATTGGATAATTCAATAATATTTCATTCTGACCTTGTATGCCAACATAAGTCATTTCTGAAAAGAATTTTAAAACTAACAACTGATAGTTATAAAAACGTTACAATTATTAACAAACATTTGTTCAGATTGGAGGTTTGTGAGGATTTTATTGATTCTGCGTTGGTGCTCATCACGGATAGACATCAATTGGAGAACCACTGAGAACATGGGAGCACTGTACAGCTGTTTCTTCCTAGCAAGGTACTCTGCAGCAATGTGCACCCATGACACCCGCCAGGATAGCGGTATCTCGCAAACTGACAGAGATCGGGAGCTGTGGACCACTGTATTCCGACCCAGTGACCAAATGGTAACGCGCTGGCAGCGTAACCCGAGGGAGGTGTCATGGGTGCACACTACTGGGAAGTTTCATGCAAAGACAAAACAGTATCTCAGCGCTAGCAGATTTTTCAATGGTCCTCCAATTGATGTCACTTCGGGATAAAAACCAACCTCGAAACACTTTTTTTTACTAAACTTACATACAACTGTAAAACGTAGAGTAGTTATTCATAGGAATCCCGGCATAGTGCATTTGAGTAAATAGCGAAATAAACAAATATATTTTATCATTCCTCAACATTTCCATCTCGCTAGGAAAATCTTTTTCGACAGTATGAATCTAATAATAATTTTGGATGACTTTAAGGGCCACCTAGCAACTGATGAGACAGCCAATTACATACATGTATTTTATGGAAAAGTACTTTTCCAGGCGAAATACCGAAGACTGATTGGTCATTTCAGCAGTCTTAGGGCGGCCTTTAAAGTCACTACTAGGTTTCCAGGTTGAAAATCTAGTTTTGGTACAGAAGGTGACCTTTATTATCATCCAATTAAATCGTGCTGTGGAACAGAGATCAATATGATGTAGGTGAGTGAATTATCAGTGTGCAAATAAGGTGGGATCAAAATAGGATGAGGCTTAATTCGATTACGAAAAATGGGTGACTTTGAGACCACCCTAGCAACAATCGAAATAGCCAATTAGGTTTTTGCATTTTGGTTGGAAAGGTAAATTTTAATAAAATACATCAGTTTGATTAGTCTTTTCAGTTGTTACTAGGATGTAAAATACAATGTAGTTGTGCGTCATCGGGGGCGGAAGAGTTGAAAGATGGTTTACTATTTTGGGAAGATGATTTGAAAATCAACGTTTGGAAATAATGATAATCGTAATGGCAATAGTAATAATGGTGATAACGACATGATGGCATTTGAAGCATGAATGATAACAAAATGGATTATGTAATATACAGAGTGGTTCATCCTTGACATGGATGTTTTGCTTCTCAGTGTGCATCAATAAGGTGTGTCTACGACCTTGAACAAACTCTTTGGAGTTAAGACTCTTGATAATATAGTGTTAGAATGAAATACTTTACCACTAAGCTAGTCAGGCCACCTAAATGTATGTTGCTGACAAGTATTAATGAGGATGAAATGCAAGTTCATTGTTCCTCATTGATGAGCTGTTTGGATAATTTACATCGCATTATTTATCAGGTTGGCAAGGCACTCCAGCGTCCCCAGTTGAAAGTATTGATATCACTGAAATGCATTAGGTTTTGATTGGCTAAACCCATCAACATATTTGATATGTTAATACATAAGATGCTATTACGATTACGAAATTGATACTAACAGAGAACACTGAGCAAAGACTTCAGATTGTACACTGCTGGAGACACCTAGGGTTAAAACGAATCATGTAGTCAGTGTATCATTTAACTGCTAATCTTTTTGTGTAGAAGTGCTGAATGAAAGATGATCGGGGAGAGGTATTGTTGAACTGATGCAACTCAGATGGTCGGGCTGGGTGTAGGGACAGTGACAATTGTTGTGCTTATAACCCACTTGCTGAATTTAAAGGACACCCTGAATTTCATCTGGATATATTTCAAAATGAAACATATATACATTGTCTGTTAGTTATCATATTAGCGAAATAACCCGCTAATTGTGTGACACATGAAAATTAAATGACTAAATATTTAGTTAACCAATTGTAAAACAGAAGCAACTGCAAATTACTGATTGGTCAGTCAGATGGAAACTTGAGTAATGACTTCAATCAGCAACCACTTTATCGTAATATCTTATGGTCTTGTATGTAGCATTTCTTCATGCATGCCCGTCCTTGATATGGTTTACTCTCAAGATGGTAAAAGGCTGCGTTAAGCCGATTATCGGATAGTGTTCTATTTAAAGAAGTGGTTTCGTTAGGGGTCTTCTTGAAAATTGTCACATAACAGTAGCTACACATTGTTTTTGTTTAATTGCTGAACTGTGAAACTACTGAGTACGGAGATAAATACATACTAGTTGGGCGACGTCGCCCTGTTGGTCACAGAAGATGAAAAGGTTTTTAGTCTGTTCGACAGATGCTAATCGGGCCGCACATAAACTTCTGTGAGACAGGACAACTATGGTCTGGATGTTTATTATGAACTTATCTCAGTATTTGGTTTGTAATAAGCAGCAGTCATCTAAGGTCACATAAAAGTTATAACATTATTAACAGTAATAAAAATAATTGTTACCCTGGTGTAAATTCTCGTCCCTCTCACTAACAGGGCATGCAAAAATACATGTGATGCAAGGATGAGGGCAGACACACCATGGTACTGATAACAACCACAACATGCACTAGACCAAATCAGGCTAACCAAACAATAAGGATTGCAGTGTGGCTGTTTTGGGTATGAAAATCTATAACTCGGAAGGTCAACACTAGGTGAGAGGGGGTGGAAGAACAATGCATGGTAAGATGACTAATAAGGATTCAAATGAAAAATTTAGAAACGGAAAACCTCCAATTGAGTTTTGCTCTGATAGATGGTCATACACCCTAACAATTTGCGTGACTTCGATTTGCTAATGCTTTTAGGCGGCAGAACGTATTAAATAGGAGGGTGGGTTATAAATCTCATTAACATATATGTTAAAGACCCTCGGTCAACTAAAGATTTACTTGAAAATGAAAATATCACTTCGCCTGTCATTCCGCTGCGTCACTATTCTCGTGCGCCCTCCTACTCGCATTATTTTGCTCATATTGTTAACAGTTTGTTAAATTTCGTTTATCAGATTGGATTTATTATTTACTTTTGCATCTCACAAATAATTTCCAATGTCTCTACATCGTTCTGCCAATGGACCTCCACCGGCCAAACCGCTTGTGGCTCTTCTTGATGGACGTGATTGTACCATTGAGATGCCCTTGTTGAAAGATGTGGCAACAGTCGCATTCTGTGATGCTTCATCAACTAGTGAAATCCATGGAAAAGTCCTTGAAGAAGCTGTTGGGGCTCTAATGTGGCATACAATTTCGCTGACACGTGAAGATCTTCAAAAGTTCAAATCTCTGAAAATTATTGTGAGAATAGGAAGGTACGTTTACGTAATTGTAGATAAAGAGTGGTCAAACTGCAACTTACATTTACAGATTAGTAGTATTCTTCCTAGATATCTCTTTAATGCTTTGTGTATTGATTAATTCTTAATTGTAGCGGTTATGACAACATTGACATTAAGGCTGCAGGTGAATTGGGTATTGCTGTCTGTAACGTTCCTGGGTTTGGAGTTGAAGAGTCTGCAGATACAACCCTCTGTCATATCTTAACATTGTATCGCCGTACTTATTGGTTAGCAAACAGTCTACAGATGGGTAAACGAATTAATGGTCCAGAACATTTGAAAGAAGTTGCAAATGGATCCGCTCGAATACGGCGTGATACACTTGGCATAGTTGGTTTGGGTAAGTCTTTTATAAACAGTGACTTATACTACGTGAGCAACAATAAGTCAAGTAATCCTGAAAAGTAGATTTTGAAAGGAGACAGTAGTAGTATGGTTGGCGTAAAACCAGTGGACCACTTTTGCATCTTTAGGTCCGTGACCTAATTTTTTGAATTGTTACTTGACAAAGAACTCAAGGCATCCCATAATGGTCGCATAAACTCATGGTTAAAAAGTCATATCATTCCGAACCTCAACTCTGACAGCCGATATCTGAAACAAGCCTAAAGTCAAGAACTCTTTACTTTAACCAAACTACAACACTACAAATATTTGAAGTCTCATATATTCATTCTGGGGCGTATGGGAAGCAGTCTGGACTAAATTTTCTGGCCGTCCGCAGTGACAACACTTGTTCTGAGACATGTACGTATTTGTCATGTAACCCCAGAAGAGGTTTGCTGAACCACTGAACGCCGCCTATTTGTTTTATGTGGTTGTATATCTAGCATTCTTTCCAATCTCCCTGTTGTCTACCTACGTGTTCAAATGTCATGGTCTGCTTGACTGTTTCTAATTTAATCCAATCCAATCCAATCTACATTTTACATGTTAAGCATTCCAGTTACGTTGCATGTAGAGTAGTTAACTGTCCCACTATACTTGGTTAAGTTACCTGGTTTCGTTTCATGATTATACTGGCATTGTTTAGTTTTTTTGTATACTGTTAAGAGGTAAGGCGAATTCACCCAGTAAACTGATCAAGGTGCTTCGTTGTTCTTATCTGAATTCAGTTTCTAATTTCAGTGTATATCACCACTGTCCGTCCATCCACTATTATTATTATTTCTTTTCCCTTAGGTTCCTAGTGGAACTAGGGCTTCAGTAGCACGTCGCCATTTCACTCTCTTCTCTGCAGTCTTTTGAACCTCGCTCCACCACTGCCCAGAAGCTTCCATTTCTTCCTCACACCATCTCCTCCATGTCACCCTCGGCTCAGACACCAAACTCGTCGTCTCCCCTTTGGGTTCCACTCGACGACCTGGCCTGGCCTGGCCTGTCGCATGATGTCCCCAAATGGTCTTCTCAGTGTATGCCCAATCCAATTTAATCCATCTCCACTTTCTTCCTGTGCATATTTGTTGGGGTATACGTTCTTGGTTGGTTCGTCGCTAGCCAGCCTGAGTTCCTTGTTGTTTATTCTTATTATTCCGACCATCGGATCTGATCTGATCTGATCTTCAGTATCGAGTGAGCGTAGGTGGCAGGTGTTGATGATGGATGTCTGTAGTTTTGTGGAAATGCTTTTCGTAATGCGCCAAGTCTCTCAAGCATCACATAGAAGCACTGACTTGACTGACTTGGTGTTGAAAATCTGTATCTTGTTCAGGCTTTATGCTGAGTGGAGTGCAGTAGATCTCCACATTGATTATTTCAGATGAATGAATGAAGGCCTGTCTTGTTGTCTTTCCGATCCTGGCTGGCTTTAACATTCTCATCTTTGCCGCCACCTCCACCTGTTGTTGGAACGATGCTGCCTAGGAAGGTGGGTGAAGGAGACTACTTCCTTTAAATTTCTCTCGTTGATGGTGATTGGCGCTTGTTGTTGTTGTTGTTGGTTGGGTATCTTCATCACCTCTGTCTTCTCTGCGTTCACCTGAAGTCCTGTCTTCACTGCCTCACCTTGCCTCTTCTGCCAACTTGCTATTTTTCACCTGTAGATCTTCGAGCTTATGCGACGACACACTAGACATAAATCATCATCGGTAGCGAAATCCATGTCTTCTTCTGAGGTCTTCAGGGTCAGTCCAGCCAGCGTATGCCCTTCTTCTTCCCGCTCCTCACAGCTGTCTGTTGCATGATCCAGTCCAGTTCAGTTGACCACAATCAGGTAGGCGATAGGTGATAGTAGGCGACAACCTTGTCTTACTCCTTCCTGTCGTCACTTCAAAGTCATCATCACTGAGCTTTCCATTGTGAATCACTCGACATGTAGCATGACGTACCATATAGCTGCTGTTGAACGAGGTTGATAAAGGTTTGTGGCACTAAAACCATAGTGTGGAATCAGCTGTCTGTTAAATTACTTCTCGATAGACGCTGTTGAAGGCCTTTTCAAAATCGGTGAAGTTGAGGTAAATATTGAGTTGACTGTCATTCTATGCTCTGTTCTGTGATGATGCATAGTGTATCGTTGCAATTTGATTGGCACATAAATTGTTCTTCATGAAGCCAGTCAGCCAGCCTGTTCCGGTTATAATCCTGTTGGATGCAGAGCATTTTCTAAGTCTCTCTGGGATGATGTAGCCTAATATTTTGCTTGCTTGAGGTGGACAGAAGTGGAGCATGATTCCGCTGCAGTTTTTGCAAAAACTTAGGTCTCCTTCTCTCGGGAGTTTGATAAGGTAGCCCTTCTTTCAATTGGCAGGTACCTTTCCTTCCTTCCGTCCATCTAAGTGACCCATAAATCTGAGACGTTGAAACAGTGTTCAGGACTTCGCGCTGTATTCCGGTCTGGCTTAAACTAATGTAAAATTAGTCACTGTAAACATTTCATCTTCAGTGAATAAAAAAGTCTCACGGAGGACCGAAAGCTATAAACTCTAAATAGTTCACCTTACCAAAACACGTTTTGTTGATCTTCACGGTCAACTGCTCTGGTTAGCTGTTGTTTCAATTTCTTGCTATCCCAAATAGAAACAAACCACAATATCAGGTATTATTTAATGAAACAAAAAGACCATAGGTCTTAAAGATCACTAATTGAGTTTCTGTTTTCTTTTCAACTGGCCAGTGTTGTCGTTTTCATAACTGCAATAATAACTTGTTTTGCTGGTTAGATAGAAGAAATAGATATCATTAACTAAACTCAGCAATGAAATTTAATGCGGTAAGGTCTTAGATTAGATGGTGATAGTGTGCATACAAGTCTGATTACGACTTGAATACTACTGGAAACGTGCGAGCGGTCAACAGTTCTCTGCGGTTCACACCGTGGAAGGCTATTTTTTCTTAAGGTACCTGAAAGAGGGAAGGATATGTGTGACCACCGACCCCATAGGACATGTGCCTGAGGCCTGTCACACAGCCTTTCCAGGATTTTCGCTATGACATTTGGTTGTGCTAACATCAAGTAGAGAAAACCCATATCACCGCCACCGGAAGACCGTGGGGCAGAAAGGAGTGGGCTTCTTTGGGGCCAACGTTTTCTAACCCCTCCTCTTATAGGCAAAATAGTATCAGCGTGGGACTGTTGGTGATCCAAGGGGAACACCCTAGGACTGTCACCCCGTCCAACCAGCAGTTCGACTTTACCCTCAGACCCCCATCATAGTGTAGTAATTCACACTACAACGGTAACTGCTTTTCACCGTGTCACTATCCAGAGAACCCTTCTAGTATGCTAGGACTTCGAGGGAACTAGCATCCCACCAGCGTAGCTCGTAGGGTCATTGTGACCACCACGTCAAGGTAACGGCTACTGGTCATGATATAAACCTCATGCAGACAGACAGCAGAATTTTTCGTGTAGCTTGAACCAGCATTTCTCTTGTGGCAGAAGTGAATGGAGGTTGAAACACCTTGACTCTTCTGTCTTCAAATGCTTGAACATAGTCTCGTGCTTTTCAGGTTAACAGAGACAAGATAGACAGGCAGACATATCAATGTAGCATTTGGCACAGAATTGCTTCGGTTCTGGTTGCCATAATACACAACAGAATGCAGAAAACAAGCCGATAAAAAGCAAGATGTATTATGGTAAACAAAAGTATTAGGAAAGAAAAAGGTTTAAAGATGAAGGTTAGTAAAAATTTTAAGACACTAGAAGATATCCCGAAGCGAATGTGTCTGCGCCATTTTAGCCCATTTTCAGCCATGTCGCCAAGGTCAAAAATCCCTTTGTTTCTCAACGCTGGCTTTTATTTTTATTTATTGACCAAATTATACTTGGGAATCTTAATTAGGAAAGTGCGTTTTGAGTTTAATAACATCACCCTTTTAAAGGCAGTTTCCAAATACCCATGGGCATGCTAGACTCTGTGGTGAGGTATCAGGTAAGTTGTGTACATCGAGTGGTGTCCGTCACGAACATCTACTCTTCCTATTCATATGTGGGGTGCATTTCTCACCACTCAAATGCAGACTGTTGCTCTAGGATTGACCTTAGCTAATATCTTGTTTCGCAGTAGAGAGTGAAGTGGATAAACGCGTTGATATCTTAACTTACTTGCGAAGTCAGATCAACTCTGATGTATCAGTGGTCGACGAAATCTCGACATACATGCTAGCTGTTCGGTTGATCTTCGCCAAATTACACCTTTTATGGTGCTGTTATAATTTGATTGCTTGTTTGATGTCTAGTGTACTGCTCTGCAGTTCGCTCTGCTCTATTACATGGCTGTGAAAAATGATCATTAAAGATGGTGGATTTCACAAGGCTTTAGGTGTTCGATCACCGTTGCCTTCGTAGCAAAAATCATGTTATGGTAAGTGTCAGTAATGCAGAAGTTAGGCGTTGAGTTTTGTGCAGTAAAGATAATTCAGTTGGTTAAGTTGCTAACCTTCATTGACTCAGAATGGGTGGGACTTGTTACTCATGGCTAGTCACGGTCTACTTCGTTAGCCAAAGTAAGTTTATAATGGGCAAATATTAGAGGTGACCACATTAAAATATTCCCAACCGATAGCTGTTTCCTTGACGTGGTGGTCAAACTCGCATTTCACAATGACCCAGTTAGCTGGTGGAACACTTCTTCCCTTGAGGTCCTTCATCCATCCATCCATCCAAATCAACATAGAAACAGGCATTACTACGTAACGATCCGAGTTGCCACAGCCCATATCAGTACATCAAGTAAAAAGGCTATGAAGTAGGAGATGAATAAAAAAATTCCTCAAAAGAAATATAAAGTACTAAAAGAGAGGAAGAAAGAGTGAGAAAATGGTGTTATTCGGTGCAGCGTTACGATGAGGATAATATGTGTATGCATCTGCGCCACTGACACCCTCTAGGTCCTA